AAGACCACGTGCATCCCTCCGATGCCCGTGGTGGCTGGTCGTTCCTCTCTTCTTCCCGCACGGCTCCAGACGATCATACTCTATCATCCGCTCGAAGGAGATTCCTGCAGTACAGCTCAATACCGCCCCCCTCCCCAGCTACCCCTCCTCCTATCATCCACCTGTCCTCCTCGTCCTATTCTTCCTTCTTTCTCAGCTCCACCTCTCTTCTCCCGTGCGACCGCTGAGACGGTCGCCAGGGCGTTTGGTCGCCTGCTGCAGTACAACCTTGCCCTCACCTTGTTCTTGCCGACTCGACACTCTCTGTGGCCTTCCTTGATCGGTGAGAGCGAGGCAAGACGAGGAGATTGAAGAGGAGGAGGGGACTGTAGAGGGGGGCAATATTGAGCTGTACTGCAGGAATCTCCTTCGAGCGGCTGATCAAGTATCATCGTATTGTCTCGCGAGTGACGTTCGTCGTGATGATCATCCATCTGATCTTGATGTCCGCGCAAGTGAGTCCCGGCATTCTGTTGACTTGAGCGAGAGCTGACGCGTCGAGCAGTACGGCTTCCTGCAGATGTTCACTGTCACAGACACGTTGTGGGGTAATGCGCTTCCTTCTATTTCTAGCTTCTGCTGTCTTGTGTTATCTCCTCTCCTCTCCTCTCCTCTCCTCTCCTCTCCTCTCCTCTCCTCTCCTCTCCTCTCCTCTCCTCTTCTCGGCTTGCCTCTCCTCTCCTCTCCTCTCCTCTCCTCTCCTCTCCTCTCCTCTCCTCTCCTCTCCTCTCCTCTCCTCTCCTCTTCTCGGCTTGCCTCTCCTCTCCTCTCCTCTCCTCTTCTCGGCTTACCTTCTCTCTTCTCCTCTCCTCTTCTCGGCTTGCCTCTCCCAGTCATATCCTCACGATTCTCTTACTCATTGTTTCGCAGGCTTTGGCAACTTGTTCGGAATGCTTGCTGGGGTAGGTTTGGTCTGCTCGTAGACTCTCAGCTGACGTCTTGCAGATCGGCATGCTGCTCATTGTTCTGTTCGCGCTCGAGCCTGTCAGGAGGTCAGCGTACGACCTCTTCATGGCCGTTCACTTGCTCGCCTTCCCGGTGAGAATCAGGAGCAGGAGGAAGAGAATGAGGGAGGAGGAGGACAACAGCTTGAGGACGTTGCGAGAGGAAAATGGAGGAAGACAAGAAAGAAGAAGAGATAGAGATAATCCAGAAGAGGCCGGGCAGGGGGAGGGGGAGGAAAGGAGGAGCAGGAGATGACAAGGGGGGAGCAGGTGCTGGTCCTTGCAGTGCTGCATGCTACCGACACTGTAGTACATCTCATCCCTCCTTTGGCTCTGTTCGTCTTCGACTTCCTGCTGAGGCATCATCGCCCCGTCCCTCTCCCTGCTTCTGACTTGCCGTGAGCAGGATGTACCAGTGGATGATCAACGTGAAGGTGCAGGAAGTGAAGGTGAGGGCTCGGAGAAGATGAACTGACATGCTCTTGTCTGTTGCCGTCTCCCTCCGCTTCTCTCCCTCCTCTGTCTCTTCCTCTGCCCCTCCCTCCACCCCCCCTTCCCTTCGTCTTCCTCCCTGTCACACTCTCTCGCTTCCTCTTGGCTTCACCTGCCGTGTCTTCATCATCCCTCTCATCGTTTATCTCTAGGTATACGACGAAGACGTCGTCAATCTCAAAATCGTCTGTCCCGCCGTTGCAGAAAGACTGTGGAACAAGTAAGGCATATCGTCCTTGCTTTCTTTCTTGTCTTGTTCTCTTGCCTTGATGCATATCTCGGCCTATCTCCCAGACTCCCCGGCTTCCTCCTCCTCCTCTTGCTCCCCGCCCCTCGCCTCCCATCCTCCCTGTCCTCTTCCTTCGCTCAAGCGCTTGTCACCTTTATCGTCCGGCTCCTTCTCCTTCTGCTTCTCTCCTCTTGATGTCTTGGTGCAGGGGAGCGCGGGCCATCGGGTCGTTCGTCAGCATCGCCTGCTCGGACATCTCAGGTGCAGAGAGTCGAGGAGATCATCTCGACTCACCTCTTGCTCTCTGCTTCTTGTTGCAGCCAACCCTTCTGCACTCCATCCCTTCTCAGTGTCGGGGTATCTCCCTTGCTCCTCCTCAAGCATGTTTCTCACACGTTCCTCTAGCTTCCTGCGCGAGCGATCAAAGGAGCAGGAGATGTCGCAGGCAAGTCCTTCTTTCCCACATGGAGCTCTGTCGCTCTCCTCTCCTGCTCCTCCTGCACCATTACCACCACCACCACTGCGTTCTCCTTGTGCTTTGTGCTACGTCTGATCCTTTTTCACCTTGTCCTTCTACTTCCCTACATCTTACTCAACCTTGTCTTTCTGTGTTCTTCAGATGGCGGACGGAACGTTGGAAGGGATGGTAAGCACGGAGCACAGACTGCCTCTCCTCGCCTTCCCTCCCCTCCCCTCCCCTCTCCTCTCCCCTCTTCTCCTCTCCTCTCCTCTCCTCTCCTCCGCCTGTTGTCCTTGCCTTGTTCTCTGCTCCACTCACTCTGTCTCAGGACCTCGGTTCTAAGCCTGTGGGCATCCAAGTGCATATCAAGGTGATTGATCTGCCTATACTTCACTCCCTTCGTCCTTTCCTCCTTCTACCTTGTTCTTCTCTACCCTCATCCGCGTACCTTTCCTTACTTCTCTTGCCCTCCTCCTTCTTTCTTCTCTTCCCCTCTCCCTTCTCTCCGCTGCCTCTCGCTCTGTCTTGTCACTCCCTCTCCTCTGCTCCTACTTCCCCTTCCTTTCTTCTCGCTGCTCTGCCTCGTCGCATCCTGAAACTCTTTGTCAGAGCATGGGTCCCAAGACATGGACTCAGAGGCTTCTGGAAGCTGCCAAGAACAAGGTGAACGAGACGATCTCGGGGAGGGAGGAGAAGCTGGGAGTAGAAGAGGAGGAGGGCAGGACGGGATGCTGATTGGACTTGTGTTTGTCAGGGTTCAGACATTCGAGTGAGACTGGAGGGACCGTACGGTGAGTGCTTGCTGTCATGATCAACCAGATTGTCTTGCTACATCACCATCATTCGCCATCATCATCATCACTGCCATCTCCATCATCCTGTACAAGTGAGACGTGTGATAACGAAGCTACAGGTCACATGAGCTTGAAGCTTGCGGAGTTTCAACATGTGAGGAGAATAAGAAGAGGCAGGGGGAGGGAGGGGGGGAAACGAGGGAAGGGAAGGGAAGGGGAGGGAAGGGAAGGAAAGGGGAGGGAAGGGAAGGGAAGGAAAGGATAGGAGGACAGGTCATGAGAGTGCTGAAGGTCTTGATGATCGCGGGAGGCATTGGAATCACTCCGATGATGCCCGTGCTGGTGAGGATTACACGACCTGCCCTTCCTGTTGTGTCATTGTCTATGTGCTATCCTCTCCTCTCCTCTCCTCTCCTCTCCTCTCCTCTCCTCTCCTCTCCTCTCCTCTCCTCTCCTCTCCTCTCCTCTGACGTGCCTGCAGGAGATGGCGTTGAGTCCGGAGAGAAGGAAGTCTGAGCTGCCAGCATTGAGGTGATTGAGATTGCCTTCCTATCCTCTTGGCATGACATGCTCCTTCACTCTCCTCCTCTGCCTCTACCTCTCCTCTCCTCTCTTCTCCTCCTCCTCTCTGCCTATGCAAACTCCCTCCCTCCCTCCCTCCCTCCCTCCCTCCCTCCCCGTCCCCGTCCCCGTCCCCCACCTCCTTCCCTCCCTCCCTCCCTCCCTCTCCCTCTCCTTCCTTCCCTCCCTTCCTCCCCCAGGTCCCTGCGTCTGATCTGGATCGTTCAATCTTCCGCGCACCTGCTGTGGTTTCAGGTGAGCTGACGGGGAGTGGGAGGAGCTGACGAGGGGAACCTACAGGAGTTGCTCGAGCATGCGTTCATGCAGACACAGATGATGAGGTGAGGTCAACCCTTTCTCTTGCTCCCACTTCTCCTCTCTCCTCCTCCTCTCTCCTCCTCCTCTGCTCCTTCTCTGGTGCTGGTCCTGCTCCCTCCTCGGCTCCTACATCTGCTCCTGCTCCTGCAGCTCCTCCTTCCGCCTCTGTCTCCTGTTTGTTGTGTAACTTTCGCATCAGCACGGACTTTCAGCTGAAGCTACACCTCTATGTCACGCAAAAGTCGCAAGTGGTATACTGCTCTCATTCCTACTCTCCCTCTTTTCCTTCCCTTTTCCGCTCCTGCTCATCCTCTCCCTACCTCCTCTCGTCTCCCTCCTTCCCATAGTTCTTCTCCCTCTCTCTCGCTTTTCCTGTTCTCGCCTCTTCTCTCCTCCCTCTCTCCCTCCATCCCTCCCCCCTTCCCTCCCTCCAGCTTCTTGTCTCTCGTCTCTCCTTGTCTTGTTCATCGTCTCTCACTCGCAGCTTCTTATCAGCTTGTCAAGATCCCCTTCACCCTCGGCAGGTCAATCGCACCCGACGCTCTCCTCGCCTCCTCCTGACATCTCTCAGACCTCAGCTCTCCGAGCTCATCCGCATCGCTGCTCAGGAAAGTATGGGAGACAAGGCGGTAAGAACTATGCTCAACATCCCTCTCTACCTCTCTCCTCGTCTCTCTACCTCTCTCCTCGTCTCTCTACCTCTCTCCTCGTCTCTCTACCTCTCTTCTCGTCTCTCTACCTCTCTTCTCGTCTCTCTACCTCTCTCCTCGTCTCTCTACCTCTCTCCTCGTCTCTCTACCTCTCTCCTCGTCTCTCTACCTCTCTCCTCGTCTCTCTACCTCTCTGCTCGTCTCTCTACCTCTCTCCTCGTCTCTCTACCTCTCTCCTCGTCTCGCTCATTGTCTCTCAGGCTCTTCTCTGCGGCCCACTGGTCTTACTCGAGAGGCCTCAGCTCGCGCAAGGTCAGCATGTCGTCTCAACCTCCCAGCCTTATGACCACCTCCCTCTCCTCTTCTATCCCTCCCTCCTCTCCCTCCCTCTCCTTCCCATCCTTGTTCAATATCTGCCTTCCGTCCTCGCCCCCGTCCTCGCCCTTCTCTGCTTTCTCTCCTCCTCCTTTCTTCTCCTGTCATCGCCACCTCCTCTCTCTTATTTCCTCCTGCACCTCCTCTCTCTTATTTCCTCCTGCAGCGAGAATGGCTTCAGCGTCCACGTCGAGACTTTCCGTTTGTAACTCCCAACTTGTATATTAAATCAGATACGGTTTTACACACCTGCCTTCCCCCCCTCCTGCTCTCCTTCAGTGTAGCCCCGCCCCCACCTCCTCCCCCCCCCCCGCCCCCCTCCCTCCTCCTCCTCCTCATCCTCCCCCCGCATCCTTCACGACCTGCAAGAACGACATCACGACTTTTAATTGGACCTCACCATCCCTCCTCCCTCCCCTCGCTCACCATCGGAAGCCTCCGTCAACCCCGTGCTTCTGTCCCGGCGCGCTCGGAGGCACATGAACTTTCCCTCCTCCCGGCAGCTCCTGCGGATGATGTGCGAAGCTGCAGCTCGTGCCCTTGCGGCACTGGCCGTTGAGCAAGTGCTGGCACATCTTCACCTTGTACGGGACCGACCGCGACGACGAGCCGCCTCCCCCGTTCATCGACTGCCCGACGGTCAGCACCCGCAGCGGGCGCCCATGCAAGTCAAGCCCGTGCAGGCCCAGCGCGCAGGCAGCGCCCTTGACGGACTCGAACTGGACACGAGCAGAGCCGTTGTGGAGCATGTTGGGCTTCTTGGCGGCGTCGCCGTGCTTGATGAACTGAAAGTCGGTGATGTTGCCAGCTCTGGCGAGGAAGGTTCGAACCTCCTCCTCTCCTACCTCGAAGGAGATGTTGGCTACTATCACCACCCTGAAGATATCGTCAGGGTCCCTCATGCTGTCCAGCTGATCGAGTTCAGACTGAGAATTGCTCGCGGTGGCCTGCTTCTGCTTTCTTCCTCCTCTTGCCTCCGCCTCTCCTCCTCCTCCTCCTCCTTCCTCTTCTCCTCCTCCTCCTCCTCCTTTTCTTCCTCTCCTCCTCCTCCTCCTCCTCCTCTCGCTTCCTCTTCCTTTCCGCCCTTAGCTTCGCTTGCTCAAACCGGGAAAGCTCGTCATCCACCCTCCACCCAACAGGCATGTCGTCGAACTTGCTCTCGAGCACTCCCACGAGGACACGGAACCTGTGCTTGCTCTTGACCGACTCAACCTCCCTCCCTCCATCGTCCACGTCCAGCGGGTGACTCTCCACGAAGTGCTGCGAACAGAAGTAGGAGCAACAGTCGTTGCACCGCAGGTCAGGTTCTCCTCGGCAGGTACAGCACGTGAGGGTTTCCGACGGGTCCAGGGAGTCTTCCTCATCGCTGTCCTCATCGATCTGCCATTTCTTCTTGAGCTTCTCTTGCTCTGCGTCTCTCTTTCTCCGGTTGAAGAAGGAAGGATTCATACATTCGCTGCCCCCCTGGTCCGCGAGCCGTCAGCAGCCCCTGAGGAAGCATTATTGGAAGCAGACGGAAGAATTTCACAACTCTCGCCCATCCCGGGTGACTATCAAAAGACCTCGTGCTATTTGACGCTGTAGGTATTTATCTTTCATACACACTGGCTCCTATCCTTATCAATACTCTGTGCAGCCTTGATTATCATGTCTTGAGAACTACATGGCACTCTGTCTCCCACTCCTCCCTTCTATCAACCGGGCTATCATTTTGCGTCCATGAATCAGCACTTCACTCTCATAATCCTCCTGCTTTGATCTTTCTCCTGGTTCTTCTCCTCCCATTCCCGCTCGTTTCCTCCTCGTTCTTCATTTCGCAGGGAATGCTTCTCGAATGTAAAAACAAATGTGGGGAAACAAAACAACTGTAAAAGGAGGAGAACAAAAAAAAATGTAAAAGAAGAGTTTTTTTTCTGCTAGTCAACCTGAGGAGGCGGCGGTATGCCGATCGGGGCCTTCACGGCGGCTGAGGGAGGGCCTGGTCCCTCCTCCTACAGCCGCTATGAAGCAGCGAAGAAGCTCAGGAGGCCTCAAGGTCAGCGCCATGGCGGGGGATGGAGGATGAGGTGGATGGGGATGTCGCAGCAGCGTGCCTTGCGCTCCCATGGTGATGGTACTGAGTTTGTTGCGCAGATGCGCCGACATGGCAGCCCTGTGAGGAGACTTCTGACTTGTCCATCGGCATATCTTGTGACTGAGCACCTTGTGCAGTTGGGTGGTACGACGAGCACGAGAAGATCGCCAACTCTGACTTGGAAGTGGTGAGCGTTTGATAGAGGTCAAGGGAGACGTCCCCATGACATTTATGACTGCAAGCTCGATTACGAGAGGAGAGTGGCATGGTATGACAGGGCAACAAGGAAAGAAATCGAAGAGAACGTGAGAGACGGTTGCATTGTTTGATTGACGAGCCGTGTGACATCTCCTGTCATATCAGCTGAAGCACAAGACGAACGTCCATGAGATCGGGAAGCTCCTTGGTTGGCCTTTCCGCGTAAGCTACATGGGGTCTGATCGGCATTGCGGTCTGAGCTGCGAATGTAGGAAGGAGGATACACGCCTAAGCGAAGGCCCAAGGACTTAGAGTGAAGACACATTCACTTGTCGCCTTTCTGCTCACCTCAGTTACTTCAGCATTCCTGACAGTGGAGCGGGAGGTGCATCGACGTCGAAGCTAGTGATATTGGAATAGACCGCTAGGAATCTCTCTGATGCGTTGTTGAAAACAGGATCCAGAAGAGCCGAAGCTGTTGGAAAGGTGACCAGGTCAGAACAAGCTCTTCGTCGCCTCTCCCTGTCTGACGTCCGTCATTCAGACGCCTCATTTACATCTTTGATGATGCGATCAAAGCTACATATGGGACCCTCTCTTCGACATCTTCCCGACAGTCGTCGAGGCTACTCAAGCGCAACAATGCGTAATGAAGGCTTCTTGTGGGGGCCGAACTGACATGGTGGTAGACGGAGTACATCGTAGAGGGCAAGAAATTTCCTTTGAGCGATCAACTCAAGTATTTTGATGGGAAGATACTCTTTATTGGTAAACCTCCCACGCAGACCCATGCAATCCTTCGGTCAAAGTTTTGATCGCCGCAAGGTGACTGAGGAGTGAAGGGAGTTGACAGGGGAGGGATTGAAAGGAGACGCAGGGGAAGAGTCAGGGAGTCGCTTTCGAATATGGTCGAACTCAGTTTGCGAATGTGGATGTAAGTTTACAAGAGCAAAGGAGAAGCAACTCTGATCCCTTCTGCTAAAGGTGCGAGATCCGGTCACTGGGACTTCTCTTTTCAGGCAAGAATATCCGACCCGTGCTCTGCTCTGCTCTGCTCTGCTCTGCTCTGCTCTGCTCTGCTCTGCTCTGCTCTGCTCTGCTCTGCTCTGCTCTGCTCTGCTCTGCTCTGCTCCCTTCCCTCCTCTGTGACACAGACCGTTGTCAGACGGAATGAACAAGCTCTTGCTCAACGAGCTGGCGAAGCCAAGCCGCTGCAGGATCGAATCTCAGCGAAGTCGGAGCTGATGAAGGTGACAGCGTCAGGCAAACTCGTGACTCCTTTGACCTTGGCCGCAGAAACTTGCCAAAGAGAAGGTGCAGAGGAAGTAGAGGTGAGGAGATGGGTAGGTGACCAAGTTCTGCTAGGACAATACACAATCGTTCCTGCAGGAATCGGTGAGAAGGAGGGGAAGGATGATGAATGTGTGATGGAGTTGATCAAGGGAAAGTCGATGGACAAGTCGAAGCTTCGGGCGAAATTGGATCTCATCAACAAGCTTGACTTGAGTGGGAACTCTTCGATCCCCTTGCTCCTTCTCTACTGCCTTACTCCATCATTTCCTCTGTCGTGGGAACCATCCTCACGTTCCATGCGCTCCCACTCTCACCGTTCTGCCTTTGCTTCTTGTCTGCTGCCCGATCTGTATCGCCATTCTATCCCATCCTCATCCCCCTTATGCATCCTCCTCCACTCATTCCTTTCCTCCACTCTGCTCCGCGTGCTCCTTCACACCATCCTATGCTCAACTCATCCTTGCAGGATTGGGGAAGGAGGCGGAGGAGCTGCAGCAGCTGCAGAAAGACTACGAGCTGCAGAAGCGAACGCTGGGGAAGAACAAACCCAAAGCTCGCCCGACAGTATTTCAGGAGATGATCGCCGACTTGGGCAAGACGTGGACGGAAATGATGAAGAAGTTGACCGAGGATGCAGAGGATGCACACAAGGAAGGGGAGGTGAGGAGGGAGGAGGGGTGAAGTAGGGATCGTCTGAGGAGGAGGAGGAGGAAGAGGAAGAGGAATGGGGGCGTAGAGGGAGAAGAGAGGCGGAATGCTCGAAGGAATGAGGGTAGACATCGCAAGGAAGAGGGGAGTCTGATTTTCGTCTCCTCTTGCAGGACGGGAAGCCGGAAGAGTCAGAACTCTACTTCGACGAGCACCTGAGGGATCCGGTGACGGGCAAGTACATTCAGAAAGTCCTGCAAAGGAAGAACAGGGACTTCGTGCTGCGGGCCGTGCAGAAAAACAAGGCGATTGCTGACGTCCTCATGGCAAGGAGCGACGGCAAGAGCAAGTACCGCCGTCCCAACCCCGAGGAGAGAGTCCAGGAGCGAGCCTCCAGAGAGAAGCACCAGGTTGTCTGACTTACACCCTCCTCTGCCCCTCCTCGTCCTCGTCCTCCATCTCCTCCCTTCTCTGCCCCTCCTCTCCTCGTCCTCCGGCTGCTCTTCCTCTCATCCTCTTCGCCCCTCCTGCACCTTGCCTTCCTTCCTCCTTCCTTGTTGTCGTCCTCCTACTCCTGCTTGTCCTCCTTTCCTCCGAACTCTCCTCTTCTACCTTGATGACCTCTTCCGCTGCTCCTCTCGCCTCTTCCCCTTCATCACCTTTCGTCTCCTCCCCCTCACCCCGCATCTCCAGCGGGTAGTCGACAGCTTCCTCGCCCGCGCCATAGAGCAGAACGTGTGGGATAAGGTGGACGAGAGGGGGAGGGTCAAGCTCGTGGACAAGACCAAAGAGCTGGAGAACTGGTCGGTCGCTACCATGCAGCACCACGAGAATGTCGTGGCAAGTGGGAATCTCGCAGCACAAGGTCCCTGCTCAGTCCTTGGAAGCACGGCCTTCAACTCCTGCCCACCCAAGATGATCACCGTGCAGGCGAGAATGATCCCCGTCGTCGTCGTCCTCTTCCTTCTCCTCCTCTCACCTCCTCCTCTTCCCTCAGAACCACTACAACCACCATTCCTCCGACCCACCCTCTACTGTCGTTGTTGTGTACGACAGTGTCTTCTTCTTCCTGATCTCATGCCTTCATCAGCTCCCCAAGGATCGCAACGGACACCAGTACCTCAACTTCAAGACTTTCGAGGTCGACATGAGCAGCACAGGGAACCCGGACTGCGTGTAAGAATCCCTTTCCTCCTTCCCCCCTCCTCCCTCCTCCCTCTCCCAACTCCCTCCTCCCTACTCCCTCTCACCCCTCCCCCCTCCTCCCTCCTCCCTCCTCCCTCCTCCCTCCTCCCTCCACCCTCCACCCACTCGTCCTCCTTCCTCTCTGTGTCTTCACAAGGCTCTTCCTGTCTTTCTTTCCCCTTGCTCCCCACTACTCCTCACGTGTTCTCTTCAGCTCCTTCAGGAGCTCATGTGGGAAACACTGGGGCTCCGGCATCCCACCAAAGTTTCAGCTGCTGGGATGGGCAGAGAGAGGAAGAGTCAGGAAGAGGGAGGGAGGGAGGGAGGGAGGGAGGCAGGAGGAATGCAGAGAAATTTTATTTGCCGCTCTCATTTTGTCAGTTTGTCAGTCTCTCTCGCTCGTTGCCTACCCGTTTCTGTTCCTCCCGTCAGTTGAGACCTCATCCTTCACTTCCTCTTCTTCTTGAACAGGGCAGTGACACTGCATCGAATGCGAGCTGGGCTGTAGGGGATTTCAGCTACGGTCCTCGGTAGAGACGAAGGATGAAGATATGGGGAGAGGGGAACAGCAGCAGCAGCAGCAGTTCACTCACGTTTCTGGATCCTCAGTCTCTGGCTGCTTGCGTTTCGCCTTCTTAGAGGAGCGAGTGTCTCCTTTCCTCTCCTACACCCCCACGTCAGCTCGACTTCCGCCTCCTCGCTCCTCTCTCCTCATACCCGCGGCGGAGGTCCAGCGCAAGGAGCTGTGCTCATCCTAGAGGCGAAGGAAAAGTCGCCCTTGTCGACTGGAGGAGGAGAGAAGCATTTGTCTGGGGCCGGCTACGACCAACTCAGCCATGGAAAGTGGGAGGAGAAGAGGAGAGGAGAGGAGAGGAGAGGAGAGGAGAGGAGAGGAGAGGAGAGGAGAGGAGAGGAGAGCAGGTTGGCGCCAGGAGGAAGGGAGAGCAGGCCGAGGATGGGAGGAGGAGAGGTAGAGCAGAACCTCGAAGAGCTGTGAGCTCTCGACGAAGGCCGGGCCAACCGCTGGCACCTCCTCCTTGCTCTCTCTGCAGGCAAGTCAGCGGGTCGGAACCGCCTCCCCTCCTCCAGCACATCTCGGGAGATCGCGGGCGCTTCCTACGCTTCTCCTCCTCCCTGCGCTTCATCGCCTCGAGCTGCTTCGTCGCCTCCTTGCTCCCCTGCTGATGCGTCAGCAGCAGCGGAAGCGACCGGGTCCTCAACCTTCTTCTCCGCTGCTCTCAGCCACTCCATCGCCTTCCCCTCGTCCTCTTTCCCTTCAGGTGCCGCCTCCGCGTTCAGGTAGCTCATCCCCAGGTGGAACATCCCCCGGTGGTTCCCCAACTTCGCAGCCTGCTGGAACAGCAAGGTCGCCCTGCTTCTCTCCGGCTTCCCGCAGACTCCGTTCTTGTAGCAGAGCCCCAGGGCCACCATGGCCTTGGCGTTCCCGGCCTTGACCGCCTGCTCGTACAGCGACATCGCCATGTCAACGTCCTTGTCCACTCCCTGCCCGCTCTCATAGCAGACGCCAGCGGCAAACTGAGCCTTAGCGTCTCCCTGCTTCGCAGCCTTCAGGTACCAAAGTAGCGCCTCCTCGGGGCTCGGCTCCGCGCCCTGCCCAGTGAGGAGGCAGAGCCCCAGGTTGTGCTGAGCATGCACAACCCCGAGGTCAGCGGCCTTCCTGTAGTAGGAGACGGCCTTGGTGTGGTCCTGCTCAACCCCATCCCCTTGTGCATAGCAGACCCCGAGGTTGAAGAGAGCTCCCCCATGCTCCTGCTCCGCCGCCTTCTCGTACCACCTGATGGCCTCTGGGAAGTCCTTGGCCACTCCCTTGCCCGTTGCCAGGCATAGAGCGAGCCTGAACTGAGCCATGCTGTCTCCTTGCTCCGCTGCCTTCCTGTACCAGCGAGCTGCCTCCTCCAGGCTCTTCTTCACGCCTCGTCCCTTCCCGTTGCACACTCCCATGTTGTACTGAGCGGTGGCATCCCCCTGCTCAGCGGCTCTTCTGAAGTAGGCCACGGCCTGCTCCTCGTCCACCTCCGTTCCCTTGCCCACCATGTAGCAGATACCTACTTGAAGCTCAGCCTTCATGTCTTTGAGGTCTGCAGACTTCTTGAAGTTTTCAAAGGCTTTCACTAGGTCTTCTTCGACCCCGATGCCTTGACTGTAGCAGACCCCGAGGTTGAACAACGCGTTCTTCTCTCCCAGCTCCCCAGCCTTGAAGAAGCAGGCCACCGCCTTTGCCGCATCCATCTCCACTCCCTTACCTTGCAGGTAGTTCATGCCTAGCTTGAACTGAGAGATCCCGTTGTCAGGCGGGTTGCTGCTGGTGATGTGGTTCGTTGTGATGACGCAGGGCGTGGGAGCGGAGCTGATGCAGACAGCTCCCTCCTCGCTGACTCTGGGCTGATGGAGAGTGAGGAAGGGAGTTGCAATGGTGGCGTCTCCCAGCCCATGGTTAGGATCGGTTGGTCGCTCGCGCACTAGGAGGGAGTTGCTGGCCTCAGTGCAGTACGTTGCCTCCTTCTTCGTGTACTCCCATCGCACCTTGCAGGACTTCCCCTCATCAAGAACTTCCGTGATGGTTCCGATGCCATTGCCGGTCTCCTGGATATGATGCTTGCTGTGACTTGCTCTGACCCTGACGCTCAAGCCAACTGTAAGGCAGTCAGGGGAATTCAGTTCATTGCTGATAGAATACCTGAAGGGAGGCAATCCTGACCAACAACTACTTCTTTTGAGATTATTGGGTTAGATACTCTCGTCTTCGATGACTTGGTGGTTGTCTTCAGCTCGCTATGTTTTGCACCTTTCAAAAAGGCCATCAACAATCACTTTTGAGCAAGAAATGAGTTGAGCAATAGAGGAAACCAATCGGAGTCAGAGGAAGTATTCGAACCTGTCTGTGCAGGAACTTCATGTGAACTTTCGTTGGTCACGTCGGAAAGAGCAACTTTCATCTGAAGCAAAGAAATATCAGGCTGACGCAGATTTCATGAAATACTCGAGACAATCGAGCGAGGAGAAGCTTGTGCATGGAAGAGAGCGAGGAGAAGCTTGTGCGTGGAAGAGAGCGAGGAGAAGCTTGTGCATGGAAGAGAGCGAGGAGAAGCTTGTGCGTGGAAGAGAGCGAGGAGAAGCTTGTGCATGGAAGAGAGCGAGGAGAAGCTTGTGCATGGAAGAGAGCGAGGAGAAGCTTGAGCATGGAAGAGAGCGAGGAGAAGCTTGTGCATGGAAGAGAGCGAGGAGAAGCTTGTGCATGGAAGAGAGCGAGGAGAAGCTTGTGCATGGAAGAGAGCGAGGAGAAGCTTGTGCATGGAAGAGAGCGAGGAGAAGCTTGTGCATGGAAGAGAGCGAGGAGAAGCTTGAGCATGGAAGAGAGCGAGGAGAAGCTCGTGCATGGAAGAGAGCGAGGAGAAGCTCGTGCATGGAAGAGAGCGAGGAGAAGCTTGAGCATGGAAGAGAGCTTCAAAAACGCAACGGTTGGTATCAACGGAAAGAAAGGTACAACGGCTTGTAACGTTCCGAGGCTGGTTACCGTCCCGGGCCGGGGCCCGGGGATCGGACGGCGGTCACTGTGCTCTCAGTGCCACGGTGCGAGTCTTTGAACTTGACTCAGTGACTCGACCCGGCCGGGTGTCGGGCCGTCGGGCCGGGGCCGGGCCCAACTTACACTTGACTCAATTTAAAACCCTGTGACTGGGATGCCAAGCAGCCTGACCGTATCTTCGGAAGTAAACTTGGCTTAACTTTGTTTCAGTGTTGCGCTTTGGCAACCTTTGACAAGCTGCATTGAGTGACTCAATGAGTCAGCTGGACTTCAGCTCATAACCTAATGGCTTTACTTGCAGTGGGCTGGTGTGCATAGACTCCACGGCGGAGGCCCTGGTGCGGAGACAGGCGGGAGGATGAGGAGGAGGTGCGTTGCAAGTTGGTGCAGGGCTTGCACTGTCGTTTCGCAGTGTCCCTGGAACAACCTTGAGCGGCAAGCAAAAGCACATCAAGAAACTCTGACCCGGAGGGTGGGGAAGGTCTTTGACAGGACGGTCAAGTTGGAGCTCACAGGTAGGTTTCAGAGCTTGAAGAGCTTGCAACCGTTGAACGGTGTTCGACGGTTGCAAGCTACGTTATCATCTTGATGACGTGTGTTTCAATATCAGTTGCTCGGCAAGGAGTTTCAATAACCTTTTCTCTATCTCACTAAGCTTTCACACGGGCTGCCGTGTGAAAGCGGGTTATCATGGAATTCTGCAGGGGGCCGTGATAGGGCAGATCGGGCTGCCTCAGAGGGATGAAGGACGAGAACAGCAGAAGCAGGAACGCGAATGCAGCGTTGATGGCGAGCAGCTGCAACAAGGAGGAGCTCAAGATCGAGATGTCGATCAAGGCGGAGCTACGGAAGGAGCTTGTAGCGGAGAGAACATCCTCCTTCCGTCTCTCCTGAAGTTCTCTGCTACCGACGGATGTACCCACTCCACAGATCCATCCTCGGCAGTCACGAACTTGAGCCCGGTCTTGTCCACCCATCCCCTGCCATGCTGTTAGAACAAGCTTCATCGCAGACAGCGCCTTTCACCTGTCAATAGTTTCCATCAGCTCTGCCACAACTCTGTTGCTGCTTCTCAGGCTACGACGACTCGCCTCCAACAGCCCCTGCCCTCCTCCCCGACCCCTCAGATAGCTCTCGATGGGTTCCAGGTCCACTTGCTCTTTCACCGCCACCTCTGTCACGAAGGCGCTGAGAGCCTTCACCGCTTCCAGCTCGCGCGTCTCTCGGGGTATCTGACCTCCGAGGGCCGGGCATGGCAGGCCAATGCTGCCAGCAGCGCCGTTGAGAGCGATCTCCAGGACGAGCAAGGCAGCCTTGAGATAGGGGAGCGCTCGCTTGAACCAGCTCTTCATCTCCACAGTTTGAAACCCTTGCTCGCAGATCCGTAGACTGACAGGACAGATGAATCGGATGTGAACTCTTTGGTAGACCCAGTTCTCCGGGTTCAATCGGCTCAACAGGCTTTTCTTGCGCTCAGCTGGGTAGATCCAGACAAAGTACGGAGCCAACCTGTCACGAGACTCTGCCAGACAGAGCTCATTCAATGAGGCCACCGCTGACCGACTAGTCGCGACTGCCCTCTTGAGGTTTGATCTGATGTCAGTCATGTGATTCTCAACCCTGTCCAGCTGAGACTTCATGGCTGCAGTCTGCTCGAGCACCTTGCTGAGCATCTCCTTCTCCTCTCTGCTGCGCGCGTTCTGACAGTGCGCAAGAGCTTCTTTGAGAGTGCGACTGACGTCTTCTAGACAGAAGGAGGAGTTGCCTGAGGATGTCGTGGAACAAGCCTTTACCGCCTTGTAGATCTCCTTGAGATAGCTCCGAATGTCGTCAGAGTCAATCCGGTCGTTGGTCACGTCGGGTATCTGCTGCAGGCTGATGCTCAGCCTCTTCAACTGTTCCTGCACTCTGTCGTTGGTTGCAGCCTGAGCGATGATGCCGTCAAGCCCCTCGCAGATGAGAGGATGCAGGAGGCTGACTTGACCCTTGATTTGTTCCAGAGTCTGTTGTATATTTTTCAGCTGGGCGTGAATCCCTACGACCGTTTCTTGGTCCGTGAAGAGGGATCGATCTTGCATGCTCTGCAGCACGGAGCTTCGTCTGCAAGTCTGCACCCTCAGCAGGCCACCGACTCCGTCTCTTCCGAAGAGTAAATGATTCAGGCTCGTGTCAGTACTGGAGCTTGACAACACCTCTCCTGCTTTCTCTTGTAGTAGTCTTTCACTCCCATCGTTGTTCCAGAACCGTACTACGTCATCCTCATTGCTCAGTCCCAACAAGGCGCAGAGGCTTCTAGCTGTAAAAACTTCGAAGATGGTCATTCCCAAGGACCAAGCGTCCATCAGGAAAGAAGCTGCAACAGAGTCTCTCAACATCAGTTCTGGTGCGCTGTATGCAAAACTCCGTCGGGTCACATTAGCCCCGACCATATCTGCAGAATCAAAGTCTACAGCCTTGATCTTGTGGTTTTTGAACATGAGAAAGTTAGTAGGCTTCACTGCAAGCCATACCAGATTTTGCTTGTGTAGGTAAGAAACAACTCTCCCCAGCTGCCGGCAGATCCCCAGTTTGTGATCTTGACGTGTTTCAAAATCAGTCTCAGCAATCCAGTCTGCAAGAGATTGCTTTGCTCGCTCTGTAACTATGGCAAGAAAACCACAGCAACCGTCCACACTCCATTTCTCCTCCATGTATATATCCTTGACGATATAATTTTGTGCATTGCTGTCCCTATGGATCTTGGTGTAGAACAAAAGTTCACGACGCAGCTTTGCCTCGCTTGTTTTATCTTTTGCTGCTTTCAGTATCCCTTTTCTTTGCACGTTATCAACCTTCACCATGCATTTGAAGATGAAGTACAGGCCAGACTTCGACCTGTCCGTGCTTTCTTGAATTCTGATGGCTCGATCAACAGCAAGATTCAACTCCACATGCTCTAGCTTGGGGTATTCCATCGCCAACAGATCCTTCAGCTTGCGCTGCTCCTCCTGCTCCTTCAGCTTGCGCTGCTCCTCCTGCTCTTTCAGCTTGCGCTGCTCCTCCTGCTCTTTCAGCTTGCGCTGCTCCTCCTGCTCTTTCAGCTTGCGCTGCTCCTCCTGCTCTTTCAGCTTGCGCTGCTCCTCCTGCTCTTTCAGCTTGCGCTGCTCCTCCTGCTCTTTCAGCTTGCGCTGCTCCTCCTGCTCTTTCAGCTTGCGCTGCTCCTCCTGCTCTTTCAGCTTGCGCTGCTCCTCCTGCTCTTTCAGCTTGCGCTGCTCCTCCTGCTCTTTCAGCTTGCGCTGCTCCTCCTGCTCTTTCAGCTTGCGCTGCTCTTCCTCCCTCTTCTCTACTAGTCGTGTCTTGCAGTGGCAACATGCCTCCTGACAGCGGCCGTCACTTCATATGTCAGTCCTTAAAGCGATTGTTTACCTTGTCGTATTTCGACCATCCTCGAGCATGGGCACACTGAGCCAATCAGTCAAGATAGTAGAACAATCACCGATGATCGTATAAGAGCGCAAACTTACATTCTACAAGGTGTGCGACAGCATGTCCAAACACAAGCAACGTCAGGTCTGCAGACAGACACAGGATGAAGAAATCGCTTACACAGCACTGATGGGCCAATTCAAGTGCGTGCATGGGTTGGCAAGACAAACGGAAAGAGAAGAATCAATGTCAGTCTCTCACAAGAGCTTATTCAACAAGACGCTCACAAACTATTCCGCTCAGTCCCCGAATCCAGTTATGTGATAAATAAAAACGTCAGTCAGTCGGTGTCAGACAGGCATTGCAGTATTTGCTACTCACAAGCTGTCCAGACCCAGTGAATAGCCCAGGAGGAAAACAGGTAGAGAAGGCAAAAACAATGTCAGTTCCACTCGATCTTTGATTTTCTTCACTTCTCATGGATACTTACAACCTACATAGACACCAGATTTGCATTGATCCAAGAAGCATAACAATCGAAATTTGCCAAACACTAGTCAGTTCAACGATCTGAGAGCATCTCTCCCAATCATCACTTACCGCTCGCTGTCAAGACCAATAGTCAGTTCGTCAGAGCAGCCAACACATGCCACATCCAGGAAAACGTCAGTTTTATGATCGAACTGCATTCTTGCATATGATACTGACTCGCTGTCTCCAATAGCAACAATCCAGAAATCCAGCAACAACCCAGGAAGCATCACAAATGTCAGTCCAAAGGATCTCAGATCTTAGAGACAATCATTTTTGACTTGTCACTTACGTACTATCCAACACCATCAACAGTCCATCCGAGCATAACCAAAACGGTTGCCAAACTGATGTCAGCGTATCTTCTCTCAATTGCATCCTTCAGCGAAGCGAAGGCGACTTACATTCTATCCTCAACAAACCCATCCAAGTGAAAAATAAGTGATTTGAAATTCGAAATATCAGTCCAATGCCTGACTGCAAGTTTCAAGATGAAACTTACAAGCTATCCAGGCCCAGCAACAGTTTCCACGACAAGAACGTCAAAAAAAGTCATTCAACCCATCGCGTAGCAGGAATCATGTTGAATTGTCACTTACTCCCTATCCAGTCCCTCAACAGGCCATCCAATCAGAACAAATCGAAAGAAATAATTTCAGTCCAATCAATCGTTGAGATTATGATTTCTAGTTATTTCTTACATTCTAAGCAGCCGTATAAATGCAACAGAAAAAAATGCAAAGCGATGTTAACGATTGTTCCATGAGGGCATTTACAAGATGATACTCACTCGCTATTCCGGCCCGTCAAAGGTGCATTCAATTTGTTTACCAAAGGTTGAAAAGAACAGATGTCAACCACCCGATCCCTGAATGAACTCATTGAAACAATACAGATATTTACCCGCTGTGTCCCTCCCGCACAAGCAAGAGCGCCGTTTCATCCCGAAGCATGAAAGATTGAAGTCAGATGGCTGCAACAAGCAGCTACTGGTCTTACGCATTTCGAGGTGTCTGCAGTGTCATGGCTGAGCTCGATCTGCAATATGTCGTGTCAAGAGACAAGCAGTTGCCTTTCGCGTGAGACAGCAAAGGCAAGCGATGATGCAGAGGAGCAGAGCAAGCATGTGCATCAGTATGGTCATCAGCGCAAACAAGCTTCTCATCGCTGCTGCTCTTTTACCTCGCAGTCGCTACAATGCCCGGCCATGTCGACCCCAACAAGATGCTTGACCTGAATCGTTACAATTTGTAACGGCAGGGTCATGGTCAAGCAACTGACAAGTGCGGCAATGAGGAAAGAAGGGATGAGAGGAGAGGAGAAGAAGGAGAAGAGATGATGATGATGATGATGTCGATAAGGAAATAACAGCATACCGTCACGGTGACTGGCAGAAACTTGCTGCAAGGAACATTCCCGGCCCTCAACACACAGTAAAACAGACGGTAGAGCAAACAAACCTTGAGTCGCTTGGGTTGACTTGAACCTCATTGAACACGATGAGTCCGCATGGCTTCTGGCTCGTCTTCCTCTCTCTGTTCATTTCTGTGACTGGAACCTTTGCCATTGTCTGCAACCCAGGATACGAGGTGAAGGTGTTGCTGAACGGAACATCCTGCGTGGCATGTGGGGTGAACATGTACAGTACAGGAACGACATGCTTAGCCTGTCCTTCACACTCTTCCACGAAGGGGCTCGGGCAACAGGGAGCGTGCATCTGCGATGGAGGCTACCAAGCGCTGTTGGACACGAGCACCAACATTCCCGTCTCTCCTCTCACATGTACGGACATCAACGAGTGTCTCTCGCCCTCAGCCTGCGACGTTCACGCCACGTGCTCCAACACCATCGGGAGCTACACCTGCACGTGCAGCGCCGGCTACTCGGGCGACGGCCTCTTGTGTCAGAACGTCAACGAGTGCACCCAGGGGGTGTGTGACCCCAAGGCCAACTGCACCGACACGCAGGGAAGCTTCATCTGCGTGTGTCCTACCGGGTACTACGATCTGAGCCTGAAGGACCCCAACATAGGTCAGGGAAGGATCTGCAAGGAGTACGGGTTGTACTTCGAACCCATCGACAACTTGGTCGGGAAGGTTGGTCAGCCAGTAGTGGTTCCGTTTGTGATCGGCAACTATGATCCTAACTACGTCTTTTCCTCCTCCTTGTCTGTGGTCGTCATCGCTCCAGACAGTGTGACAGTGAGCAAGGAAGTGGCTCAGTCCAACGGGTTCCTTCGCCTCACTCCTGCAGTGATCGGGACCTTTCGCATCAACATAACAGTCTCGGACATCAACACGAAGCCTGGCCTTGTTTCCTTCACTCTCACTTCTACTGTTCTTACCCCCTTCTTCGACAACGTCCCTCCTGCCAACACCTTCCAGGACCTCAAGACGACGAGCGGCACCCCGACGTTCCCGCACACGTTCAGAGTTGGGCACGAGGACGCCAACCGTCTCGGGGCCCTGACGATCCGAGCGACCTCGGGGAACCTGACGGTGGTGCCGGACAACTGCTGCGAGGTACGCGAGAGAGGCGGGCCTACCTTGCTCACCCGCTGTGACAGAACACGTCGACCTTCCGCGAGATCGGGGGGATCTTCTTGAACTTCACCACTGAGAGGGTCCAGATGATCTACAACGGCAACACCGTGTATGCCAGGAACGTGATGGTCGTCATCAACCCACGCGGCATCGCCACGTCTACAACCGGAGTCGACCTCCGGTTCTTCCTCACTGACACCCAGCAGAACATCGTGATCGCCGCCTCTATCAAGCTGTACGTCTACCCTCGCCCCTCCATCACGACCTTCTGCACCTACGACGTGCAGGAAACGGACACCTTGATCTCCATCTCCAACCTGTTCGGCATGCACTGGATGACCCTCTTCATGCTCAACAACAACTCCATCACCCACCCCGATAGGGTCCTGCCGGGCTCGCGCATATCCATCGGGTTCGCCCAACGGAGAGGGAGGGAGGGAGGGAGGGAGGGAGGGAGGGAGAGGAAGGCGAGGGAGAGGGAGGAGGAGGGAGGAGGGAGGATGGTTACAAGCTGGCAGGCGTCCGTACATCGTGAAGGGCGACGATTCCATCTACTCCATCGCTACTCGCTTTGGTTCCCGCTCCCTCCCACCTTTCCCCAAGAAAACTCCTTCTCCTCCTTTTCCTGCCCTCCTGCCCTTTTTCCCTATTCCTCACATTCCTTCAGGAACCACCTGGCAATCCGTGATGGCCACCAACCCAGGTAGGAAGGATTCTCCTCCTGCTCCTGCTCCTGCTCCTGCTCCTGCTCCTGCTCCTGCTCCTGCTCCTGCTCCTGCTCCTGCTCCTGCTCCTGCTCCTGCTCCTGCTCCTGCTCCTTCTCCTGCTCCGACTCTCACACTGACTCTGAGCGGACAGACACGGTTCCAGATGAGAGAGCTATCTTTGCTGGGTCGATGCCTCTGCCCTCCTGCCCTCTTCCTCACCCTCCTTGCAGGCAACTCTTGTGCATCGCACCGGACCTGGCGTTCCTCTCCTGCATGGGTAAGGGAGGGAAAGGTGCTCTCGTTTGCTCCTCACGCTCTTGGCAGAGCAATGAGGTAGAAGACCAGAAGAAGGAAGAGAGGGGGAGGAGACGAGGTCAGCGGGGGAGGGGAGGACAGAGTGGGTGGAGGAGGAGGAATGTGGAAACAATTATTTACAAGACTTGGTGAAACATTCTCCACATCAGCTTCTTCCTCCGCTAGAACCGAAATGGGAAAATGTCAGTTGCTGTCAGAATGACAAGAGCCCCGTCCGCTTCGAGAGTCAGTGACCTGTACAAGGATATGCAAGTCAGAGTTACGGAAGAAGAGGGAGGCGAAGTGGGAGAGAGGGAAAGGGAGGAGGAGGAGGAGGAGGAGGAGGAGGAGGAGGAGGAGGAGGAGGAGGAGGAGGAGGAGGCAGGGGAAGGGGACGGAGGGAAGTATGGCATCACGGAGGGAAGGGGTTTTGCTGCTGACCTCCCTACGTGGACCGAAGACTCGATCCAGGAGGCGAGGAGGGCGAAGGAGGAGGAAATCGTCTCCTCGCTCCCCACTGTCACCCTCATCCTCCCGCCTTCGCTCGTGTGGAAGATCTTGGCCGTCACTCCCGCCCTCGCGCAGATCTTCTCAGCTGGCGTCCAGCTGGAGCAGGAGACGCCATCGCACGTCTCGACCAGCAAAAAGTCGCCGCAACCCGACGAGTTTGCGCCCTGGAGCTCGTTGACGATAAACGAAACGACGCTCCCGTTGCTCGCCTCCAGGATCCAGCTGCAGGGCCCCTCCATGCTGCTCCCGTTCAGCTTGAGGCTGCTGTAGTTGGTGCCGTTCTGACTCGTCCAGGTGAAGTTGCAGCCCCCGAGGTCGTCGACGGGCTCTTGAAACCAGGAGGCCGAGAACCACGAGTCAACCGCGATGCTACTTGCCCCAGCTGGTACTGAGCTGGCGTTGGTTGCGTTCGACGTGTTGAGGTACGTACTGTTGGCACTAGTAGAGTTGACATCTGACGTATTGAAGGTGGAAGAGTTCGATATGTTGACCTCCAGCTGGCTGGAGCCTGCTGGAGTCTTTTCCGAGCTTGTCAAAATCACATTGACATCGGCCACGTAGGAGACTTTGACTCCCACTCCCGGGCTGGTCGCAAGAAAGAACTTCTCGCGGCCGGCAGGGCAGATCGTGAGCTCCTGCTGGAACGACGAGCAGGAGGAGTCTTGGCACAAACTGATCGAGAGGAAGTTGCCGGTAGCCGAGCAGTTCTCCTGCCCTTGCTGGAAAGTCTCAGCTGAGATGAAGAGGCGGAGCGAGCGGTTGGCGCAGGGGAGCACGGTCCAAGAGCAGTTGCGGGAGACGTTGTGAGGGTGGGAGGCCTCCAGGAGGCCAGTAGGAGCGCGAAGAACCGACCCCGAGGACTCGCAGGTGAAGCGATGGAGGATGGCTTCGGAGAGATTCTGGACGAGGACAGTGCTGAGGGGAGCTGACGTCGAGTCCAGGGAGGAGAAGCAGAGGCCATAGGGGCAGAAGTAGAGAAGAGAGTCGCTGTCCCCGACATCGAGCACTGCAAGAGGTTTCAGAGGGCAGCGGAGCAGGAGGAGCGATGAGCAGCAAGGAGGACGGAGAGAGCAAGGTACCTTGGGAGGACATGACAGCGCTGGTCGAGTCGCTAGAGTAGAGCGACAGGCTCCCGTTGCCGACGGAGAATCTCATCCCCGAGGCGACGCTGAAGATCGAGTCTTCGCACGTGACGCTCTCGTTCGCACCCGCCCTCCTCCTGTTCTTCCTCGTCAGTCCTACCATGGACGCACGACCCTCCTTTCCCCCTCTCTAAGAACCCCTCCTCCCTCCTCCCCTCCCCTCCCCCTCTTCTCCCAGCAGGTGCTCACCTGAGGTATTTCTGCGACCCTCCCGTGCTCATCTTGCTCGACCAGCAGCACTGGTCCATGTAGCACATCCAGAAGTTTCCCAGCAGATCTCCAGCTATCGTCTGCCATACCAGCGAGGAGGAGTTTGCGCCCACAAGGGAGCCGTCGTCCCGGAGGATGACGGAGTCGGAAGGATGCATGTCGTTGTTGTCGAGCTGCGAGTGAGAGAGTCAGGAGCGGAGGGAAGGGGAAGAGGACGAGGAGGATGAATAGGGAGGAGGTGGAGTAGTACCGAGAGCAGGAAAGATAGCAAGATGAGAGGAAGGAGCGAGGAGGGAGCGAGAATGGAGGGAGGGAGGGAGCAGGTAGCAAGGGAACGCAGAGAGCAGGTAGGAGAGGAGGAGGGACAAGGAGGGAGGAGGGGCACTTCGATCAGGATGCTCGATTCACCTGCGGCCAAACTACCGGGCTGGTACCCTCAGATGATGGCGAGAAGACGATCTGAGCCCCTTGGTCGGAGAGTTGGAAGGTGAAGTTGACGAGATCCGTGGGAAGCTCATGGTAACAGATCGAGTTCTCCTATAGAAGGGATCATGGAGAGGAGCAGAAGTAGGAGGAGAGGAGAGGAGAGGAGAGGAGAGCAGAAGATGAGAAAAGATGCGAGGGGAGAAGAGGAGGAGAGGCACGGAAGGAGGGGGAAGGGGAGAAGAGGAGAACAGAGAAGAAAAGAGATAGCGAGAGGAGGAGAGGAGCTGTTGGTACAACTGACCAGTAGGGGGCCGGATCGAGACCTCCATTGGATCTCATCACTTGTGCTGTTTCTGATCTCAAGGGCCCCATCGCTCGTCAGGGAAGCGTAAAACTCGCGATTGTTGCTGACGAGAACATGACTACACCAATCTGAGATGATCGAGTCAATGCACAACCCCGTCCTGCAAACACTTGAAACCTTGAAAGTGCAGCTTACGCTGCTGGTCGCTGTTCAACAGTTGAGTGGAGGTACCAAGGATGCTGGCAGACCCTGACAGAGTCAGGTTGAGAACTTCCTGCCAGCTCACTTGGCTCGTCTCGCCCCAGGGCAGTGGCATGCTGGAGACGTATCCCCACTTGTCAATCTCCTCCCAGACCTGCGCCAGAAGAGCTGAGGGGAGCGGAGGAGGATGGGGAGGAGGGATAGTGAGAGGGGAGGGGAAGGAGGAGGGGAGGGGTGAGAGAGGGGAGGGCGGGGAGGAAGGGGAGAGAGGATGAACGGTAATGGGTGACGGTTGTGTTAGGGGGGAAGGGAGCACAGGGGAGGAGGACTGGGAATATGCGAGGAGGTCAAAACTAGAAGTCACCTGGTACCCGCGGACGAAGGGCAGGGTGAACTCTTGCAGAGTTGTAAGTCGATCGGGGCAGGAGCAGTCGTAGTCGATAACACTGGCCGGGGGGCTGAAGGAACGGGGAGGGCAGGAGCGGCAGACGCCGCAGTCCTGCTGGCAGTTCTTGCTCTTGAAAGTGTTGGGAGGACACGCTTGGCAGCTGAGATTAAGGGGGGAGTAGGCGTAGCCGGGGAGGCAGTACTTGATGTTTGGGATGCACCAGAAGGAGGGGGAGGAGAGAGGGTCCGGTATGCTGACGCACATCTCGTGGACCTGGCAAGGAGAGTCGACGGAGAGCGAGCAGGGGTCCGTGTCGAGCCTGAAGCTCCTCCTGGGACCTGCGAAGGATGGGACTTCTCCTGTGATGAAGTTGAGCTGGGAGATGTTGCCGGCGCCCAGCAGGACTTGCCCTGACCCTCCTGCCTCTGCCCAGCTGGCCTCCTGCATGAGGGGGAGAGAGCTGTCGGTGCCGATCGAGTAGAACACCTTGACGGGCCCAGCAGCCACTTGAGCTGAGAAGATGGCGATGTCGACTGGCTGGGAGGCCTCGTACCCGCAAACATTCACGATCGTGACCGCCTGCGTGTTTGCAAGGACCACCTGCGTCTGGTAGTTTGGCGTGACCAGGACCGAACTGCTAGTCCAGCTCACTCCCACCACCTGCAGCTGATACCCAGCAAACGACACGAGCACGTCCTGCTCGAGAGGAGCGTCCCGCCGGAAGCCCAGCAGCTCGAGCGAGGAGACCTGCAGCTCTTCGTTGCCAGGCGCGTAGTCCCTCGTCACCCACACCTGGACCTCTGACGAGATCACCACCCCGTCGTAGCCCACCGACCCGCCTGTAGCGCGAGCTCCGGAGCTGCTGGAGGAGCAGAGGTTACCGGAGGGGAGGCGGCAGGGCAGTGTGGGCATGGCGGAGCAACGGAAGATCTCTGGCATATGCGGAGCTTGCTTCATAGCTGGGGTCGGGCTGGGTAGGGTGTCGGAGTATGCCATGTTGTTGTAGAAAGTGACCAGTTCCCCGTAGTCAGCGGCCCCAAGGACGCGAGGCCAGACTGCGAGCTCGAGGAGGGACCAGGAGGAAGAAGGGTTGAAGATGAGGGAGAGGCGATCGGCAGCGGGCAGGGAGGACGGAAGGGAATGATCGCCGCTGTAGGAAATCTCCTGGAACGCGATGGAGGTGACGTCTCTGAACACACACACCAGCTTCCACTCGTCGACGGTCATCTGGGACTGCTGGAAGGTCTGCTCATACCACAGGTCAGACTCGTTCTGGTTTCGCACTAGCCGCCATGGCGTCTTGCCGTTGGCGCTGCGGTAGGCAGTGCAGAGGGTAAAGGACTCCTGTAGAAGGCCCTCGGGGAAGAGAATCACTTCAGTCCCCGAGCCCATCACGACCGGCCTGCCCGAGCTCGGGCCCGGCCAGTTGCAGTAGCCTGACTCTACGATCGCGTCCTGACCATTGCCCGAGGTGTCTCTCCATCTCTGCTTCCGCAGCTGGAAGCTGCTGCCTTCATAGCGAGCTGCCCAGGGCGTTAGCGTCCTCCTGTCCTTCAGCTGGACGTCAGGAGGGAAGACCCGTCCCGGCACGTCGTACTGGACGTCCGACTCGAGACTGTCTTTCTTGCCCGCTGCTCGGGTGTAGTAGGCGACTTTGAGGGGCTCAAACGACGCATCCCACCTCTCGCTGATCTCTGCTCCTCTCCATTGGCTGAACCTGGTGACCTCAGAGTAGGCAAGGGGCCGGACGAGGTCGTCGGGGAGTTTGACCGACAGCTCGGAGAAGTTGGCGGAGGAGATCGTGACGTCGTGCGCGTCTAGAGGGGAGAAGGAGCCGAGGCTGGAGGAGTTCTGCAGGAAGGGGAACTGCGCGTCAAGGAAGAGGTTCGAGCCGCTCTCTTGGGACATGAACGTCAGAGTCTTCGCCTGCAGGCCGAACGCCTCCTCCTCCCCTCCCAGCACCAGCTCAGCAGTGCTCGTCCTGTTGGACAGGTACTGCTGGATGTCAAGTATGCTCGTGGGGTCCTGGAGCTGGCACAAAGAGCTGTTGAGGTCCAGGGAGTAGCTCCTGCCCTGGTACAGGTTGCACAGAGGTCCGTTGAGGGTGAACAGCAGGGAGAAGCTTCCAACGTCGCTGACCTCGATGAGAAGGTCGGTGAAGAGGGCGGAGGAGGAGGAGGAGGACACGTCGTGGCAGGAGGATCCTTGGATCTTACCAGCGAGATCCTCCCCGTTGCTGTTGTACAGTGAGACCGCAATCTTGAGGTCCAGGGCTGCTGAGATCCGAGCGCCATTGACATCGAGGAGGAGGAAGTGGAGAGGAGGGAGGAAGAGGGGATGGGCAGAGCAGAGGAGGTGGGGAACGCTGGAGGCGTTCTCGAGGTGGATGCTGACTGGGAGGACGTCGAACGGGTCGCTGGCAACGACGAAAGCAGAGGAGTTGCTGCTGATGACGGCAGTGGTTATCGACAGCTGCAGCTCGAACAGCAGGCGGAGTGATATCCCGGCAATGGGGGCCCGGAGAGAGGAGAAGGTCACTCGGCCGGAGCTCAGCGGGACCTGGGTGGTGCCGTTGAGCTGATCTGCCAGCTGGGCAGGGAGCAGGGAAGCCTTGACAAGCGCGAATGAAGGGTCGGAGACAGTCTCGATTGGCTTGCCTTCGACGTCCAGCACCTCCAAGGTGAAGGAGGAAAGCAGTTCCCCTGACAGGAAGCTGCTGATGCAGTCGGCCTGCGGCACGAGGCGCATGGAGGAAGGGAAGACAGAGAAGGAGGAGGTGCAGTCCGAGCTCCCCGACGAGTTGAGCATCGAGCCCATGGGCTGCCCGTCCACCGCCAGGGTGAATTGGAAGCGGAAGTTGCTGCCGGAGACGTTGAGGATGCGGAGATCCGGGAAGGAGATCGCATCATCCTTGATCAGGGCCGTCCGATGGCCGAGGAGGTACTGAGAGGAGGGAGCGCCGTCGAGGAGGAGGTCGATCTCGATGCTGAAGCTGCCGTCGTCTGCAGAGAGGACAACACCGTTCTGGTCGACGAGGTGGAAGGTGAGCTGGAAGCTCTGCCCGGTCAGGACGTCCCCGGGGCAGCCGTTGGCCTTCAGCGCCGACGGCAGGATGTTGAAGTGAGAGGTTGAGGAGGAGAGGGAGCGGCTGCCGAGCTCGATGCTAAAGGTGAGGGAGAAGTTCCTGCCTGTCAGGTACGCGATCCTCAAGTCCGTGAACTTCGCGCTGTAGCCCTGGGCCCTCTGTATCGTCTGCCCCTCCAAGAACTCGTCCATGACGTGCCCGCTCTTGAGTAGATGCGCCACCACTCGGATGCCCGGGGACGAGACGTTGAGGACGCGGCCGAGCTGATCGAGGAACGAGACAAGGAAGAGAGGGAGGTTGCCGTGGGAGCTGTTGGAGAGGACGGCAGGAGACGTCTGGTACTCAGAGTCCAGCTGGGAAGGATCCAGCTGGATGCTCGCTGGGGCCACGAGGAAACGGTCTGACCTCCCCCTCGTCCTGACGGGGTTGCCGACGACTTGATGGATGAGGTCAAACTCGATGGCGAAGAAGCCGAAGGCTCCACCGACGACAAGGCGGTCGAAGAGGAAGGAGGACCCCAGCTGCCGCGAAGTTTGCCCGGTCAGCTGCCCGCCTGCTGGGGTACAGTCCAGCTCCGTCAGGCTGTCAAGGTAGGAGGAGTCGAGAAAGGAGACGGAGCTGGGGTTCTGCAGGGTTAGTTTGAACGCAATCACTTCCCCGGCAGGGAGGCTGTTGGCGAGCTCGAGGAGGAGGCTGAGAGAGGAGCAGTCATAGATGGCGCAGGTGATGGAAGTGTTGGCGGGGCAGGAGGAGGAGAGGGTGGGGACGGTGCTGCCGCTGCCGCCATACACGACCATGTCCTTGCTCCCCGAGCATGCGATGTCGAGCCCAGCGAGAGTGAACTTGCTACCGGCCGGCATCTCGACGGTGAGGGCAAAGTTGATGCTGATCTCGTTGGACCTTCCTGGGTAGTTTGTCGACTGATGAGCCTGGCCGAAGGGAATGGCTGGGGGGCTCACACGGAACGGTAGCTTGTCTCCTCTGATGGACCAGAGTTGCCCGGCAATCGCTGACGAGTCCTCCTGAAGCTGGTAGGAAGCAACTCTTACCAGCCCCTGAAAGCTGCAGGATACCGAGACGGGTGTGGAGTTCCGAGCTCCTGCAGGGTTGGACACGTTCCAGGCAAACAGCATCACCTCTCCAGCTCGCACGTCCCTGCTGAGGAGGAAGCGGATGCTCGGGCCCGCAGCGTCCACCTGGTAAGAGTCGGAGAGGTCTGATGGGAAGACACTCAAGTCGCTGAGCAAGTCGCCGAGGGTCTCGTTGGAGCCCAGGGAGAAGGTGAAGGTCACCGACGAGTTCACGTTTACCAGGAAGTTGGGTATCAGGGTGATGAAGATGGTGTTCTTGCCTAGAGGGAAGGGGTTCGTCTGAGTGATCTGGGCGGTGGTGAAGCCTGGCGGGTCTATCTGCATGCTGCCGCCGTCCAGTGAGACCAGGTCGATCGTCTCGTAGCAGCTCGAACACGTTCCTGGAGAGATCAAGTTGGCAGCAAGGAGGAACGAAGGCGGAGGGAGGGACTGGGCGTCGTTGGTAGCGCACAAGGAGACGTCGATCGCTTGCAAGGTTGTCAAGTTTGTCAGGAGCGCAAGGGAGACCCTCTCTGGCTCGATCGTCACCGAGACAAGATTCTGAGCGGCCCAGCAGACCTGCGCTAGCTGGAAAACAGCTGAGGAGGAGGTGATGGTGAGCACAGACCCGGCGAGGAGGGGGATGTTGCAGAGGAGGGAGATGGTGACTTTGGCTGGCATGCCCGCATAACTTGTGTTCCTCCTTATGGTGGCCGAGTGAAACCCTGGAGCCTCGACGAGGTAGCGGCCGACCTCGCTGCTCAGGAGCAAGCTGGAGTTGTAGAGATCCGTAGTGGTTTCCAAGGTAACGGACTGGTTGACCCGCCACTTTGGGTTCTCCACTGAGAACGCCACGAAGAGCTCACGCCCCGCACTCAGTGCCATGTCAGTCTGAATGCTCAGCTTCCCTCCGACGACGTCGATGGTGGCGGGCGACGTCACGTTGGTCCCGTTGGCTGCTTTGTAGGACAAGGTCGCGTTGGAGAGGAGAACAGCGTCGGCAAACCCCGTGAGCTGCAAGGTGGCAAGAGCAGCAATCCTGAAGTTGAAGCCTACTCGGAGGATGATTGCTGACGAGGCGGGGTACGGGAAGGAGCTGCTCTGGTACAGCGACAGAAAGGCTACGGAAGCGTTCTGAACGTAGAAAGGGGCGGCATCTCCCGCCACTGACCCGAGGAGGCCGCTGATCGGGCGGTTGTCTGCGGTGAGGCCTTGGACGAAAGTCTGGAGCTGGGGGGAGGCGACTTGCACTGAGACAGCAGAGGGGGGAGACTGGGAGACCGGGTTGACAAGGGAGAAGGAGAGTACGTAACTCCTTCCGCTCACCAGCGAGCTGTAGCCGATGGAGATCGCCGACGCCTGCAGGTCGACCAGGAGGGTCGAGAGGTCGCTGAGGTGCTGCGGGGCCACGTTGACCAGGGACAGGCTCTGCTGGAGAAGGTGCTGGGAAGGCCCAGCAGTGTCAGCTGGCCGCCGGCATCTTGGAAGTTGGGCACGAGGGTGATGAGTACTTGGTTGTCCGCCCCCGGCCAGGGGAACTCTGCCCGATGTCAGCGACGGACATGCGAGGAGCGTCGATGCTCATGGGGGCCCTCGGACCCACCCCCTTCTCCATCAGGCTGGGGGGTATGACGACCCCCCCGTTGGCCTCCACGACCACAGCCGGTGACTCCTGGGCTACCATGGAGTTGCGGGCGCAGAGGGTGAAGTTCAGCTCCTGCCCAGCTGCCAGGGTGACGTCATCCCTCAGCTGCACTGCCAGCTCACCGATCCCTTGCTTCCAGGACGTGCTCTTGAACCACATCGAGGACAAGTCGTTGCCATGGGAGTCGACCAGCCTGACGCCTGTCTGCGACCGCAAGTTCAATCCTGACAGCCCTGAGACTGTGATGCTCGCCCCCTGGCCTCCCAGCAGATCCACGTTGGCACGAAGCTCCACTGAGAGGCAGTTGGGATGACCCGGCCATGAAGAGTTCTGAGAGATCCTCTTGATGTCAAAGGATGCTGCGCTGACGCCAAAGATCGGATAGTCCAGCTGCCTCTCGACCAGGCTCCCAGCAAAGGACGTCGAGAGCGTGAGGAGCCTGGGAGGGTAGTAGTCGACCTCACACGAGGAGTTCCTGAGGGTTTGCTTGCAACGAGTCTCGCAGCTAACAAGTGACGCGCCGACGTACAACTGGTCGACGGCCTCGAGCTCCCACGATCCCGACATATCTCTCAAGATCGGACGGACGACAACCGGTGGCAGCGGGCGGCCCACCAGCGCCAACAGGCTGCAGTTGATGCTGGGAAAGTTGTTGAAGTCGCATTCGTTGGTGAGGTTGCTGCTCAGGGAGTTGGGCCACAGGCGGAAGGTCGTAGATCTCAGCACGAAGCTCGCCATGCTCGGGACTGTGTAGTTGGCCACAAGCACGTAGCAGGAGCCGATGATCCCAAAGATGGTCAGGTCAGAGAATTCAGCCTTGCCCGAGGTAAGATTGAGCTCCTTCCGTCCGTGAAGGTTGGGGAGCGGAGGAGCGGAGGAGGGAGAGGATGAAGGAGCAGCGCATGGTCCAGACTCATCGCGGTACAGCTGGACGCTCACAAGGCCAAACTTGTCAGCTGACCCCGTCAGGCCACTCAGGACGTCGCCGTTGGCCCCTTGGACTTGCACCACCACGGTCGGAAGGAGTTCTCCTTCGAGGAGGTTGGTGGGGAGAGGAAACTGAAAGCTGATGTTGTACGGAAGGACTCGAAAGGCGTTGGACTGGTAAGGCCCGTAAGTCTGGCCGGAGAACAGGCACGTGAGGGTGTAGTTGAGCCGGTAGGTTCCGATGCAGGAGGGAGAGGATGACAGCAACTGAAGGCCGCTGAAGGTGACAGATGTCCCAGTGATGTTTCTCTTGGTTGTGCCTTGCAGGCTGGACTCGCTGCCCAGGTCTTCACTCGCAACGAGCACCAGGGAGACTTCAAAACCGTCGGCTGGGATCAAGTTGATCATGGCGAAGGTCACGAGAGACACTGAGGCTTGAAAGGATCCACCGCAGTTGAAGTCGGAGACCTCTTGAATCTGTACGCCTCTCGGTATCATGTCAAATAGGGGAGTCACAGCACGTTGTGTGACAAGAGACGACGACGTTGCGGCGCTAAGGAACGCAGCATTGATGTTCAAGACAAACAGCAGTTGGTACTCAGAACCAAGTTCATCGAAGACTCTCAGGTTGTTGAACTTGACATCCTGTAGTCCAGTGAAGATAAGTTTGGGAGTCGAGCTAAAGGCCGTTGGCCGGCGGATTCCATGGCGAAGCAAGGATACTTCTATCTCAAAAGCGTCTGTGTTGAAGAAGCGCAGGTTGGACAGGCTCGAACCGATCATACGGATGGAGATCTGAGGGAAGGTCTGGTCCTCGTAGAGATACTTCGGCCAAGTGCTCTCAACGATGGAGATCCCTTGAGGATAGACAACAAACGTGGCCGTTTGCGTGCAGAGCGGGAGGATCGAGTTTTGATTGCTGAGGCAGACCTTGAAGACATAGCCCGTTCCCGCCGTCCCGAGAATTTTGAGGTCTGCAAAGAGGGACTTAGCGGACTCGACATACTGGGTTGTCGTTCCTCCCAGATACTGAAGGTTAAGGTTCTGGTTGGAGTTCAAGAGCTCTATGTCCAGAATGAAACCATCGGTCTCCACCACCACGAGAGTCGTCAGGGGCATGGCGCTATCGACTAGCGTTACAGACATCGTGCTCACTGACTCGTCGACAAGCACGTTTCCAGAGCTCCAGTCGATTTGCAGTGTGTCGGGAAAGAGCCCGAGCTGAAGGGGATACTGCAACGAGCTCTGCTGATAGAAGTCCCGAATCTGTTGATTGACAGCAGAAACCACAGACACTTGATCCAGGTAAAACACAAGTACAAACCTGGAGCCAACCAGACCGTTTGCTCTGATGCTCGAGAAACTTGCGACACCAGCATCAATCGCAACTACTGTCTCACCATAGATCGAGCCCTTGAGCTGCCCATCGCCGACATCGAACACCTTGACTGACACATTGAACTTGTCCTTCATTTGGATATCACTGTGTGCCACTGCACAGAAACGTCCGCATGCCGCTTGACCGGCGGGCAGTGTGATAGGCAGGCTCTGAATGACTAGGTTAGTACAAGACCAGCAACAGCAAATCAACAAGAAGCGTATCTACCTGTCGAGCAAAGTCAGCAGTGAACTGCATATTAGGCACAACAGTGTATTCATTGCTGTTTGGAATATCTCGATTGAATCCCAGGAAGCTTCCGATGGAGCCGCTTGCACTGAAGATAACCCTCCAACCCTCGAAGGCAACGTTGATGACCACCTGACATTGGCATCCACTTCAGCGTAACATGCCCACGAACGCTCAACGTTCAAATACCTTATCTTGGACTTTGGTGAAAGAAAACAGGTCGACAGCAATACCCAGGTCTTCAAGTTTCAATCGCAGTTCCGAGTTAACACCATCAATCGAGTAGAATCCTTCGGTGAACGCAATCTGATAGGACTGATAGTTGTCTTCAAAGAAGAAGAGACTGTTGTTAATCCTCGCTGACACAGCCCGTGTGAAATCCGTTGATCTCATCTGCACATTCAGCGTATCGAAGGTTTGCCCGACATAGTAAAACAGATCCTGTGAGTCGGGTCTCAGGAACTCACCGATGAAAGTGATTGGGTTCGTTCCAAACACTACTGTTTCACCACGGAAGTACGCGCTGAAAGTGATAGTGTAGTTGGAACCGATTTCCAGCGCATCGAGCTGCAAGTTGTCGAAGACAATGTCCTTCGATGCCAAGATCTCCACAGCTGTCACCCCACTCAGGCTCTTCTTCATGCCATCCTTCCACAGCTGCGCCGTCACCACGACTGATGCTAGGACTTCGGGAGGGCCCCCGTTCTCGAGAAAATTGAGGGTGATAGAGGGAAAGGGATTCCTCACACAATGGAGAACACACAGCCCTGACGACTGATTTCGGGCTTTCAAGCTTGTGCCGAAAGAGCATGGTTCAGAGGTATGCTGTAAACTGAGGGAGAATCCAGCCGAACCTTGGGCAGGAACAAGGTTGACTGTTGTGATGTGTCAGTAAACATAAATAACCGGCACCAGTACCTATGAGTGTGTAAATGATGAAGACGCAGCTTGACCATGGATGGGCCATGTGAAAGAGTGTTGGAAAATTCACTCCCCAACCTTGTAAAAATGAAAGCATCATCAGCACCATAGCAGAAAAACTCCAACAGCAGCGCAGTCAATCCAAAGATCTCATGTATGCAATCAACTTGCCAAGAGAGCCCACAAGGAGAGGCTGTCTTCCACATGGTCTCCTCCCCATCAGACTGTTCCGCATGATCTCCCTCTCTCCCGCCGCCTTCTTACCGCCATCGTCCTCTTGTCTTTCTCCATGTCGCGTCCATCCATCACGCTTGTCAAAGGTAGGACCCCACCCCACTCACCTCAGTCACCTCATGTGACCCCCCATCTACTCACCCCCCAATATCCCTTCCCATACCCCTGTTCCTCCCATCCCCGACGTCTAGTGTCCAAGGGGCAGTACCAAATGAACCCCCCGGCAAGCAGGCCCGGGGAGGGGGGGCGGGCTGGCCCGGCGCAGGACTCAAAAGTCTAGTAGGAGTCGGGCCTGCGCAGTCCGCCACCTAGTACAAAAGAACTTTAAGTTGTTTGCTGAATTCGAAGTTGAAGACCGTTTCTGCCCGGTGATCTTTACTCAAAGTTAAGTTAAAGATCAGTACGAGGACAATCAGTGATCAGTCAGTGGATCTCTAAACGGCCCACCAGATGAGTCCCGGAACCTGGCGTACTACCGGGCTGCCGCCGGGGAGTAGTAGGAGTCGGGCCTGCGCAGTCCGCCGACTCGGAAGTTCGAATGGGGTAAGAGTGGGGAGGAGGGACATTCGTTGACTTCATACAAGCAAGGAGGGATGGCAACAGGGCAGGAGGGAGCCTTGATCCCGCTCGTAGCGCTTGTCCTCGTGGACATGGTGGGAGGCTGGCGAACCTCCTTGATCTCCTCCTTGCCCTTACACTCCTCCTCCTTTCCCTCCTGCTCCTCCTCGTTCTCCCCTTCCTTCATGCCCGCCCTGTCAAGTGGTAGACCATATGTTTCTTCAGTCGTTGTATCGAATAAGCGAGCTTCGCCGAGCAAAGGAGAGCGCATGTTCTTCAGCACCCCAGATATTAACAACCTCTTCCTGGCTGATAGCAAAGAAAGGTGAGTGGTTCATTCATGATGAGGGAGACTAACAGCAGAACGATCGGTGCGGCAGGTTTTTCAACCCTGTGTGGTACCCTTACTTCGCCAGGAAGACACACATGGAGAAGCTCACTTTCCCTTCCTCATCGCTTTTTGGTGGCAAACCTCCCACGGACATGTGGATGTTAGAGCAGGTGAGGGTCTCGGCACCGGAGAGGTTCATCCATGGTGTGTTCTGATCGGGGAGAGCAGGCGATAGGATTCCTCAACATCTCAGTGAACATCAGGATGACGGCTGTGAGGCTCGAGGACGGCTCTATCCTCGTCCACAACCCCATCGCTCCCACTGGTGAATGCCTCGACATGGTTCGCTCCCTGGGAGACGTGAAGCACATCGTCCTTGGTTCGACCGCCCTCGAGCACAAGTTCTTCTGCCGCTCCTTTGTCGACAAGTTCCCGCAGGCCTCCTTCTATGCCTGCCCCGGCGTCTTCAACTACGTGCCGGGGCTCACCAACCTCATGCCTGCCGGCCTCGGTCTCTTCGTCGACCTCGTCCGGCCCATCAGGATCGACGGCTGGCTGACCAACAACTTCCAGCAGGCAATTCTCAACGGGGTAACCTACCCCGCCAGCCCCGTTCCTCCCTGGGCGAGGGAGATCGAGCACGAGCTTCTCTTCTTCGATGCCCCGCAGTTCGCAAACGCCGCCGAGGCTGCTCTCTTCCACAAGAGATCCAAGACGCTGCTGGTCACGGACAGCCTGACGTACATTAGCAGCACCAAGACTGACTGGATCACCGAAACAGGGGCAAGGGACCGGAGGGCTCCGTTTAACCTCTATCCCAAGGAGTGGAGCCCGGCAAGGAAGAAGGCCATGGATCAGATGCAGATCTACACCATCCAGACTCCCTACAAGGACGAAGACTTTGACAAGCTCACCGACAAGCTCTACGTCTGCCCTCAGCTGAGGCTGTTCGTGTACGAGACCGACCCCGAGCTGGCCAGGAGCTGGGTGAAGAGGGTGCTGAGGTGGGACGTGAAGAGGATCATCCCCTCTCATTTCGACGCTCCCGTAGAGTGCTCCAACAAAGACATCCTGAAGGCGTTCTCCTTCATCTTCGACCGCCAAAACTCTCAACAGGATGCACCCCTGCCCGACGATCACTGCCTGGGCGTGCAGAAGGCTGTCCAGATCCTCCTGCGCCGGTCGCTCTTCAGGTGTGCGGGCCCTGCTCCCTGCTCCCCTTGCTCTTGACTTCTCTCCCCCGCAGAGATCGCTTGCAATCAGGGAAGGTGCAGAAGCTGGAGTACGCGCAGGTCAGCAGCGTGTGTGCTGAGACGACAGGCTGAAGTTCTTCATACAGGTGGAGGAGGGAGGGAGGGAGACAGGGCTGATCGAGTTGCCCCTTATCGGCCTCACAAAAGTTTAAAAGTACAGGCGCCGCTCATTGCCTCGCGCTTCTCCTTCCTCCCCCTACCCCTACTCCTCCCCCTCCCCCTCCTCCTCCTCCTCCTCCTCGCTTGTCCGTCAGCTGGACCTCGTTGTAGACGTCGTAGACGGCTATCTTCTTTGACAGCTCCGAGAAAGTCCAGGCGCCCTCCCTCCCATCCGCCCTGCTCGTGCAGTCAGAGACCAGATGGAGCATGCAGCGACTCGGGGATCATGAGGTGAACGATGAGCGGGGGAAGGGGGATACAGACGCGGGAAGGACGCAAGGGTGGGGGAGGGAGGAAGGGTGTTGAAGAGGACTAGGATACAAGGGACAAGAGGCCAGGATGAGGGATGGACGATGGATGCAGACGACATAGCGAGGCAGGCAGGAGGGAGCGGTGAGGAGGAAAGGAGGCCAGGGGATGTTGAAGATGAAGATCCACCGGACGGGGAGGTAGCCTCCTTGCAGACGACACCCGATGAAGTCCTGCATCCTCCGGTCATCGACATCGATACTTGTCAGGTGAAGTACCTTGACGAGTCGCAGCTCGCGTTCCCTACCGACCACCTGGACCTCCCCATCCTGAGAGGAAAGAAGCCACTGGAACCGGGAGTCTCCTTCCTCCCCTCCAGCGTAGCCCCCCTCAAGGATCAGACTCCTCCCCTCCTTCCCCTCTCTGCGCACGATCCTCAAGTTGGAGACCGCTGGCTCGCCCGGGGTCACTTGGGGGCTGAGGAGGCGAAACTCTGCGGACTTCTCGCTGTCGAGGCTGTTGAAGGCTTCCGGCACGCGGACGAGGGCGACGAGGTTGTGCGAGATGTCGTCGCGTGAGGGCGAGTAGCTGGAGGAGGAGGAGAGATGGACTTGCTCATCCACACTGCGACCCGCAGGCTCCTCGCTCCCTCCTCGCTCTCCTCGTCCCCCTGATCCTCCTCGTCCTCCTCCTTTCGCTCCTCCCAGTGCGGCCTCGGCCTGAGAGTGCGCTGCTTCCTCGTCCTCCTCCTCGCCCCGCACTCGATACCAGTCGACAGAAAACTCTCGAGGCTGGAGGAGGATCCCACCGCTGTGGACCTCGAGCTGGAGGAGACTTCCCTCCTCTGCCAGGCCCACCAGGTCGCAGGTGATTGAGGCGTCCAGCTCGCCATCGCGAGGAGGAGCGAACAGGGAGTGACACGTCACGACGCCACCGACATGCTCCACCGGGTCCGGATCAAAGAGAGCTTCACATCCCAACGGGCTCGAGCGACTCGCAACGGCCAGGGAGCTCGCCCGCTCCATCGCTTCCTGGACGGGATCAGCGTCAGGGATGAAGGGAGCACACGACCAGCACACGTGAACCTGCGGCTCCTCTCTCGCTACCTCCAGCACGTCCCCACTTGCCACTGTTGGGCATCTCAGAGTGAGCAAGAGAAGGCAGAATCTGCAGACCTTCCGCCAGCCTTGACTGTCGCCGCAAGATGAAAGAAGAAGAAGCATCAAGGCAGGAGGACAAGAAATGCACTTCACCTGCTGCACTTGTTCGTGCCTCGAGGATCGAGGAGCATCCGATGGACTCGTCGGATCCTGCGACGCAGCAGACCATCATCGCAGCAGTAAACGACTCGCACAAGAGACCTTCTCTGCGAGGACGCGGGAGGACGCAACCCAGTAGCTCCTCTGCTGCAACATCAGAAGTCGCTCCTGCCCTGCGAGGCTCATTCACCTGCACGGGAGGGAAGCTGCTGCTACGAGCCTGCAGCTCGACCCACAGGCGATTTCCCTTGCAGAGCCGTCAGCTGGAGAGCAGGCTGGAGGAGAGAAGGACAAGAGCTACCAAGGTCTCTGCTGGGATGAGGAAGGAGGAGGAAGGGGTCTCCTCTGCCTGCGAGTCGATGGGAGGCAGATGCTGATGCAGCATCACGAGCCGTTGACGATCCGGCACTTTCATCGCCTCCTCCCCATCCACCTGTTTGAACCAGCGGACACTCAGGCTCTTCTGCCCTGCCAAGGGAGCGTGACGCTGAGACGTGGCAGGATGCAGAAGCTTGCCTGCCGCTTCCTCCTTCCACCTCCAGCGAACTTTGGCGAGTGCACCGACCGTGAAGGGACCGAGGAGCTGCAGTAGAAGGTGAGGGAGAAGACCCAAGAGGAGAGGAGAGGCGAGGCGAGGCGAGGCGAGGAGAGGAGAGGAGAGGCGAGGCGAGGCGAGGAGAGGCGAGGCGAGGCGAGGAGAGGAGAGGAGAGGAGAGGAGAGGAGAGGAGAGAAGAGGAGAGGAGAGAAGAGGAGAAGCAGGATTTGAGGAAGAGGATTAGGAGGTGAACCTCTAGCGAGTGAATCACGTTGGAGGCTGCAGGATACGAACCAAGTCAGCGACAGAGATCTCACCTCCTCCATCACCTTTCCGCACTCTGCACGTGTAGGCAAAGGCCTTCGACTCTGCGCGACATCGGAAATCCTCTGAGCAGGGAGCATCCTGCGACAGCGCCTCTAGCTCCTCCAACGAGAGCGGAAGCCAGTTGGTACAGGAGCAAGTGCTTTCTGCTTTCAGGGTGAAGTCTTCGTCCTCCTCCTTGACCCTGAGGGGCGGGGATCAGCACAGCAGCAGGCCATGGCGTCGCACTCACGTGTACTCGTCCCCCGAGCCATCGGAGATCTCTTGCTTGTTGCCCAGGTCGTCGACTCGATACCAGCGGACAGTCTGCAGAGAGATCAGGTGGGGAGTGAGCGCGAAGCCGACGGTGCCTGCGAGAGGATGGGGCAGGTGAGCCGCTGGCTGTCTGTGGAGATCAGCTGAACCATCTTGTTGCGCATGCTGATCAGACTTGCAAGCAGGGAGCCGAATCCGATGCACTTTGGTCTACACGTGAGGACGACCCCCTCCCCCTTCACACCCGGAGCAAACCTCTCTCAACTCCTCCGGCAGCTTGTGCAAGAGCCATTCGGCGCCTTGAAGTGCCTGGCCAGTGTCATGTGAGGAGACCACTCATGTACCCTTCGAGGCAGCTTACTCGCGCAACGGACTCCGAAGCATTCACATCCCTGCTCACTCCCTCCTTTCTGATCAGAGCCTGTGGAAGCATCACCGCTGTCAAGGGGTGAAAGTAGCAGGACAGTCGCTGCCGTCACCTTTGACAGATTTCTCGTGATGTCCGACTCGAGCGTCTCCACTTGGTCCCGCAATGCCGCTACGTGTTTCTTGATCTGCCCCGCTCGTTACGTTGCCGTTACTCGTCCGTAGACCTCGCACCTCGAAGTACGAAATCGGTTTCCACCTGAAGTCGAACGAAACTTTCTGTCCGATCTGCAAGGAGCCATGTGATCGGAAGGTACACAAGACCTTCCAAGTTACCTCAGCATGGCCATTTCCATGGATTCCCTCCAAATGAAACGCTTGATGCCTCCTTGCTGCACCAACCTGTTCATCTTCGTTGTCACCATTACACATCCCCACTGATCTGCCTCCTCCTCCTCCTCCTCCTCCACCAAAACCTTCAGTCACAGGGCGGTTGATGCAAAGTTTCCTCTGAGCAGGGCGCAATTATCCCCAGCTCAGCCTTGAAGCTCTTCCCGGGCTCACGGCAGCTATGCAGTGGATCTCTACCCACCCGAGTCAGCGAGTCAGCCTTGGAGTCAGTTCCCCCTGCAGCCCCTGCTTCGGAAGACTCAGAGCCCCCAGCGGCGCCTGCACTGCCTCATGACCCAAGGAAAGAGCAGAGGCGAGGCTGGTGATGCGATCGCATTTTACTATCAAGTTATGGGTTTCAGTGATGGCCTGTACTACTCAGAACATATGAATCATAGGTGAATTTGGATTG